AATATAAACAGGCCTGTATCTATTAAAGAAATTGAACCAATAATTAATGACCCTCTAAAACAGAAAGCACAGACTCCAAAAGATTCACTAGTGGATTTTACCCAGCACGTAATGAAGAAAGTATACCAATTTTCTATAATCTCTTTCAAAAGATATAAGCAGAGGGGAAATTTCCTAAGTCATTTCCATGAGGCCAGCATTGCCCTAATACTAATATTTCTCATGAACACAGGTAGAAAATTCCTCAACAAAATATTAGCAAATATTAGCAAATCACATCCAACAATATACAGAATTATATACCATGACCAAGTGGGATTTTTCACAGGTATGTAAGGCTAGTTAAACATTAGAAATTATATTAATATAATCTATCACATCAACAGGCTAAAGAAGAAAAATCACATGCTCGTATCAGTAGATGCAGAAAAGCACTTGACCAAAATCCAATAACCATTCGTGATAAAAATTCAATAAACATGGAAGACACACAAACTTCCTCAATTTGACAAAGAATATCTACAAAAATATACAGCTAACATCATACTTAATGATGAAAAACTCAAAGCTTCCCACTAAGATCAGGTACAAAGCAACAATGTCCCATCTCACAATTACTTTTCATTACTGTATTGGAGTCCTACTTAATACAACAGGACAAGGAAAAGAAACAAGGGTACACAGACTTGGAAGGAAAAAATAAAAGTGTTTTCATTCCCAGAAGATATGATCATCTATGTACAAAATCCAAAAGAACCGACAAAGGAACTTCTGAAACTAACAAATGATTATAGCAGGATTGCAAGCTACAAGGTTAATACACAAAAGTCAACTGCTTTTCTACATGCCAGCAATGAACAAATGAACTTGAAAAACCATTTACCTTATCATCCCCAAAATGAAATGCTTAGGTATAAATCTTAAAACATGTAGGAGATATATGTGAGAAAAACTAAAAAACTCTGATGAAAGAAATCAAAGAACTAAGAAAACAGAGAGGCATTCCATGTTCATGGATAGGAAGACTTGGTATTATCAAGATGCCAGTTCTACTCAACTTGATCTATTGATTCAATCTCAGTCAAAATCCCAGGAAATTATTTTGTGGATACTGACAAACTGACTTCTAAACTGACAACCTGGAGAGGCAAAAGACCCAGAATAGCCAACACAATATTGAAAAAGAACAAAGTTAAAGGATCGACACTACCAAACTTCAATATATACTATAGAGCCACATTAAACAAGACAGTGTAACAGTGGTGAAACAGATAGACAAATAGATGGTGGAACAGAATACACAGACCAGAAACAGACCTACATAAATGTAGTTAACTGATCCTTAACAAAGGAGCAAATGTAGTATGAGAGAGCAAGAATAATCCTTCCAACAAATGGTGCTGGAACAACTGGACATCCACATGCAATAAAATGAATTTAGACACAAATCTTACACTCTTCATAAAAATAAAGTCTAAATGTATGACAGACCTAAATGTAAAATGCAAAACTATAAAACTTCTAGAAGATAACTTAGGAGAAAAGCTAGATGACCTTAGGTTTAGTGATGACTTTTTAGATACAACATCAAAAGCATAATCTGTGACAAAAAAAATGGATAAGCTGGCCTTCATCAAAATTAAAAGTTTCTGCTCTGTGACAGATAATGAAAAGAGGATAAAAGGACAAGCCACAGACTGACAGAAGACATTTGCAAAAGTCATATCAGATAAAGGACTGTTATCAAAAATATTCAAAGAACACTTAAAACTCAATAATAAAGCACAAACAGTGAGATTAAAAAATGGGCCAAATAACTTAACAGACAGGTTACCAAAAAAGATTTACAGATAGCAAATAAACACATGAAAAGATGTTGAACGTCATATAAGAGAACTGCAAATTGAGGTGCCAATTATATAACACTATGCACTTATTAGAATGACCAAAATCCAAAGTATAAAATGCTGGTGAGGGCATGGAGCAAAAGGAGCTCTTGTTCATTGCTGGTGAGAATGCAAAATGGCACAGAAGCTTTGGAAAACAATTGACAGTTTCTTACAATACTAAACATATTTTTCCCCATATGATCCAGCAATTATGCTCTTTGGTATTTACCCAAAGAAGGTGAAAACATGTGCACACAAAAACCCGCCAAGTGATGTTTATAGCAGCGTTATTCATAGTTGCCAATGCTTTGAAACAATCAAGATGTCCTTCAGTGGATGAATGCATAAATAAACTAAAGCCTATCCAGAAAATGGATTATTTCCAGCACTAAAAAGAAATGAGCTATCCAGCTATGAAAATACTTGGTGGAACCCCAAATGCATATTACTAAGTGAAAGAAGCCAATTTGAAAAGGCTACATACTATATGACTCCAACTATATGACAATCTGGAGAAGGCAAAACTATGGAGACAGTAAAAAGATCAGTGGTTGCCAGAGGGTAGGGGAACATGATGAAAGAACAGGTAGAGCACAGGGATCTTTAGGGCAGGGAAAGTAGTTTGCATGGATATCTAGCATTTTATATATATATATATATATATATATATATATATATACACACACACACACACACACATATATACATATATATATATATGTGTATATATATATGTATATATGTGTATATATATATACATATATACACATAGATATAGATAGATATAGATATACATAGATAGATAGATAATGCTATATCTAGCATTATACATATATATATATATATTTTCAATCCCTTAGAATATACAACACAAAGAGTGAACCTTAATACGAACTATGGTCTCTGAACGATAATGTTATGGTAGGTCCATCAGTTGTAACAAATATACCACTCTGGTGGGGGATGTTTTCATGGAGGAGGCTTTGTATAGGTAGGAGTAGGGTATATATGAGAAATCTCTGTACCTGCCACTTAATTTTGCTGTGAATCCAAAACTACTCTAAAAAACAAAGTTTTTATAATGTCTACATGAAGTTGATTAAATAGTAAAATATAAAAAGCAAAACTTTTAAATATTTATAAGAATATATGGGAAAACTTTTGAAAGAAAGAGTATCTGGAAATATTAGGAAGTGATAATATAGAAAACATTTTATTTTCTTGGCAACTCTGCTGTTGCTGGAGAAAGACTTTGGTTTGAAAAAATACTTTACTTGGGAAAAACCTGAGTGCCTGGTGTGTGGACATTAGATAATAATGCCAACTGATGTCAAAGGATAAATGAGATTGTTCTGCAAAAAAGAAGAAATGGGAGCTAGAGACAAAGGTGACAGTGCATCCAGAATACTGGAAGGAAGGAATGTGGAGAGAGGCAAGAGGAATAAATTAGGATTATGGTCAGGAAACCCACTTTTCTGAAAAACTGTGGATTGCAAACAACTGGAGAAAACCTAGTGATGTTTTGGAATAAAGGTTTGCAATGGAAGTGAGAGGATTTCAAAGCATTTTACTGTATCTAATTCAATAAACAGCTTCTATCCTTAGAATAGTCTGAAAGAATTAATATCAATTTATTCTCAGGGTCCTTTGTCACTTCTTGTGAAACGTTAGTACTCTGTATCAAATATAGGCTCTCTCAAGTTGCATTAGGACCTGGGGACTTAAGAAAAAGTTTGGACCATATTCTAAGTCTCTTCAGCTCTAAAATGTTTTTATACTATAATCTAGAGTGAGCAAGAAGTACCACTTGATATATAACGTTCTATCTGTTCATTCCTTCTTCTTTTTGTGTGATTTGTTCTTTCAATTAGAACTAGTTGCCTCTTTATACTCATTTCTTCCTGGGATTATGTGTGTCATCCTTATCTTGACTCTCCATGGCCCTTCATTCAGTTTAGGGCTATAGAAAGGACAGGCATCAAGTACTACATCAACTATCGAGGCCTATCTACAGAATTTACTCAAGGGAGTGATATGATCAGATGTTTCAAACACTTGCTACAGAAAGTATGGCCCATTGAATAACAGCTTCATGTGATATGGGAGCCTGTTAGAGAGGCAGAGTCTTACTCCAATTTCTACAGACTCAGCATCAGCATTTTCACCAGGTTGCCCAGTTATTCGGATGTACATTAACATTTGATTAGTACTGCCCTAAGCATTCCCATTTTTTTGGTAGGATGATGAAAGAAGGATTTGGGAAGAAAACCCTGAACGTAAAAGGTTACCTTTTCATTCTTTTAGTTTTGTGATATTCAGAGTAAGAACAGAAATATACAGGATGAACTAAAAAAGTCATTGTTGAAGAGTTGAAAAATATTTCCTCACATTTCTATAAGTTCACATGAGCTGAAACTGGAGCCATTAGAGCTTTTACTACATAAAGTATATATCTGAGTCCCAAGGTAGTAAGGACCCCAATTCTTGGTTTATTTTAACAAAGAATTATAGCCTTGTACCTTATCAATTCAGGAAGCTCTAGGTGGAATTATACTCTTTAAAGTACTTCCAACACAGTGACTAAAATCATTTGGTCTTTTCAAGTGCCAAGAGGAAGTCTATAGTCAAATGCTACCCAAAGACACATGAGAGTAGAAGTTTTCTTGCCTGCTTTGCTCTACTGTTCTCGTTAATAGGATTTTTTTCTAGGTCACTGGGCAGAAAACTTCTTTTATGGTTTCACTTCTTAAATCATTACAATAAAGATTTGTACAACCCATGTGAATTCTTCCAAATTTTGAATCACAGGGCTTTCAGGATATAGAACTCTTCTGTAAAGACAGTTCCTGAATATCTTTAACTCAAAATCCCAATAGCATCTCACCCTCTCCTCTAGGAAAGTCTCTCACTCTGATTGGAAACTCTGGATTGTGTGTCATATAATAGTGAACACCTGGCCTCCACTGTAACAGGTCCTAGTAAATTCTGTCTAAACATGAATTTACAGAGAGAGTCTGATCCTAGCAACAACAGAATGCAGTGAGGATGTCATTTAGTAACGCCTAGAAGACCTTGTACTTAAAAGTAAAGCCATGTATCTGCAATACCTACCGATTTCAAAACTACCATCAATAACTCCCACCAGTGAAGAGGGGATATCAAACCTTCTCTCTATCTGAGTGATGGTGCTCTTCAGATAGCCTTCTGCCAATGCTTTGGCAAAGTAAACAAAAGACAAGGCACCCAAAAATACCTGGAAAATATGACAAGTCACACTTAGTCTGACTCCAGCTTGACATACATGTGGAAACTTCCTAAACAAGCAGACAAAGAAGAATGCAAACCAAGAACAATCTAACAAGCTTGTTATCACTGAAGATTTCTCTCAAGGATGGGTACAGGCTTTCTTCAGCCTCAAGCTCATGCAGATTCCTAAAAATACAAATTCTGAAATATATTTCATTCAGAATGTATATTGAATTCTGCTTTTTCCCTTCTTTCCACCCCCTCCCCTCAAGGATACTTGAAGGAGTCTTGGCTTTGAAAAAAAGATCCACTGTATGGTGAAGCAAAGAGTGGAAGGAACCATACAGAGGTAAGAAAATAAAACAAGGATATAATCAAACACTTAACATCTTATCAAGTCTAGTACTCAGACTGTTTCACAGTCATAGCAGGAACATAGCAGACCAAAAAAAGTACAACTACTATCCTTGTGCTTGAGTTCATATTCAAGTTAAATTCATTCTCAAATGAATGTTTTTTTAATAGCTGGCTTATGTATTTTGCCAGACCTGAGTCTGTGATGGAATATCCATAGAATAGATGATCATTTGTATGAAAACACACACATATATTTGCTAAGCGAATGTTTGGTACAAAGAAAGAACAGGAACTTGGGAGTCACACTGAGCACCGTTTAAAAAGCGACGCTAGGGGCGCCTGGGTGGCTCAGTCGGTTAAGCGGCTGACCTCAGCTCAGGTCATGATCTCTGGGTCCGTGAGTTCAAGCCCCACGTCGGGCTCTGTGCTGACAGCTCAGAGCCTGGAGCCTGTTTCAGATTCTGTGTCTTCCTCTCTCTGACCCTCCCCTGTTCATGCTCTGTCTCTCCCTGTCTCAAAAATAAATAAAACGTTAAAAAATTTTTTTAAAAATTAAAATAAAAAAAAATAAAAAGCAATGCTACCCTTTACTGTGCAGCAAGGAAAGTTCAAAATTTTCATTTACAAAATGGGAATAGATGGACATTTCATAGATTAAATGCTATCACTATACTTAGCATAATATCTGGTACATGGTAGAAACTGAATAAACGTTAGTTTCTTCTCTCCCATTTCAGTTTAGGAGGGGCATTGAAATGGGGCCCGAAAGTAATATGCAGTAACAACCTACATGGTAGAGAGAGACTACTGCTTTCACTGCCTGATAAAGTGTGGTTTCAATAAGTTGCATCTAAGATCGCTTTTTAAAAAGGAAAAAAAAATTCTTGCTTCTAACTCATATGGAAAATATATAATTGCATAGAAACATGAATTATAAAATTGTGTAGCAAACATCTGGATGGAGAGTCAAAAACATGGACTCCACCAAATAATTCCCCCCAACACCCCTCCCCCCCCCAATTCTTTGTTACTCTTTAGTTCACTACATAGGGTTATTTGTTGTTTACTGTTGAACTGCTTGTTACCTTCAGTTCACCACAGCACTGTTGTTTCTCCTTTGAGGAAGAATATTCTGTTGTTAAGGAAGGTCGCCCGACAGGTTGCATTGAACTTTTGCAGAATAACTGGATATTTTCTTTGGATGAAGTGTCCATTATGAAAATATTCCTTGACTCTGATCCTGTCAAGGTTGCTTCTGACAGTAAAAAAACAAAACAAAATTCAAATCCACTGTTTATTAAATAATGTTTTTATTTCACAGATCACAATTCTGGAGACATAGTTTGATATAAGCTACCTTATTTTACCACAGAAGTTGGCAAAATTTTTCAATTAAAATTGACCAGTATATTTGATTAACTAATCCTGCTATCAGGACTCTGTAGCCAACATTCTTTCTCAATCCCTCCAGCTTAAGCCTCATTATGGCAAAGAATAAATTTAAATGTTGTCTTTGGAATAAATAACGAGGCAGAATTTTGCAAACTTTGTGGTCTTGCCAGCTTAAACTAGAAGCAAGCAGGAAAGGAAGAGGCATTCAACCATTTGAATATTGATTCATTAAAATTAAGTCATTAAAGCCTTTTAATCTATCTTAATAGAATGGGTAGAAAAGATTGATGCCCCTTATAGGTCCCTGTAGCACACTGTTATTCCTATAGGTCTGCAGCATCCAAAGTAAGGTTTAAAATATGGCAATAAAGAGAAGAGGACCAATTTATGTATCATTTTAGTTTGACACACAAGGAAGGAGCATGATTTGTGCCTCAGGCTTACATTTAATTCAGGCAAAAGTTACTTTAGTGCCTTAAAAAAAGATGGCCTCCCTTCCTATGTTTAATTTTCCATCCTCCTGCCTTACCAAGCCCTGGACAGTTTCACATGCTCTGAACCTATTTTCTCCTATTCATATCCGTATTTACTTTTTTAGGATTCTGCATGGCTCAATACCTGCCTGAAAAAATAAATTAAGTGAAGAGATTGAAAAAACAAAATAACTTCTGGATCACCCTAATGATGCATTTGTATGTTAATAGAAATCTTGCATATTTTCATAAAACTAATTAAAGGAATAACATTAGGAGTAAAATTTAATGTATTTAGAAATTTAGGCTTATTCTGCCTATGAATATATTACCTTGACCTTATGTAATACTTATTCTGTGTTTCCTAAACCTCATCCTTCACAGTTTGAATTCATAGATAATTTCTCAAAACTGAAAAATCAAGAATTTATTTTGAAATATGGAATTAAATATCAAAAGTAAGACCTGAACAATTAAAACTGGAGGGGATTCCTCTAGGGAGTGAGAAATGAGTGGAGAAGGGTAAAGCAAGGGCCTGTTTCTTTCTTTTTTTTTAGTATTAGATTTTTAGATTATTTGATTTTTAGATTATTTGATACATAAATTTAACTTTTAAGAAATGGGCAAGGAAAATTGAGTGAAACAGGAAAAAAGTTAAAAACCAAAGAACTAAACAAAGAGCAGATAATTCTAAGCAAGATCAAAAGACAAAGACCCATTGGGGTGCCTGGGTGGCTCAGTGGTTAAGCTAAGCATCCCACTTCAGCTCAGGTCATGATATGGCAGTTCTTGAATTCGAGCCCCATGTTGGGCTCTGTGTTGACAGCTCAGAGCCTGGAGCCTGCTTCAGATTCTGTGTCTCCCTGTCTCTCTGCCCCTCCCCTGCTCATGCTCTCTCTCTCAAAAATAAATAAAGATTAAAAAAAGAAAAGACAAAGACCCACGAATACAATATCAGTGAGCTCTAAACATAGATGTTTATAAGTATAAAACATAGAAATTATGCACAATATATAGAAATAACTTCAAAGTCTTGACCAAATAGGTAACTTTCTGGCAAATATTAATTACCTGTACTGATACAGCCGAGAAAAGAAAAATAGCCAAGGGAACCATTAACAAAAATACCCTGAAACTATCCTCTAAGCAAAAATACTAAGGACAGATCCCTTACACAAGAATACTAAGGAGTAGTTTAGTAAGGGATACCCTTCAAAGAGAAAATATTAGGTAATTAAAACAGATGATAAAAATCTCTATTCATTTAAAAACGTCAGAGTTATATTGAGCAAAATCTCATTTAGATAGCACAAGGGAAAAAAAACACTTCAGGTGAAACTTAGAGATGCTAAAATTTTAAATAAAATACTAGTAAATCCAAATTAATTTATATTCTGTAATTAGGATCTAGTTTACAAATGTAACAATATTAGGAATTTTATTTACCAAATCATTACATTAATGAATGTATACATTTATAATGTTACATGTTATAATGAATATCAAAACATCACATTGTACATCATAAATTTAGACAATTTTTGTCAGTCACATCTCAAGAAAGCTGAAAAAAATCAAAATAAAAAAAACAATAAAGTTTCAGTAGATGCCAAACACCAGGTGATAAAGTTTAACATCCATTTCTGATTAAAAAAAAAAAACACAACTTCTAAGAAACTAAGGACATAGAGATTCTTCTTTACCGTGTTCTGATACCCAAGGCCAACTTCTTATGTCCACTGAGTCACTGAAACTAGTTTTCCAGAACAATGTTTTGTCAGAACAATGAAAAGGGAGTCTGAGAAACATTGGGTTATGCAATGTTACATAGGTTTCTCTGCTAAAAGACTACTGAGTACCTGTACCTTCATTAAATTGCTGGAGACACACTGCCAATAATAATAAATAATAATAATAATAATAATAATAATAATAATAAAAGTCAAAACATCTAAATGACCTAAATGTCTAACAAATTATGGTCTATTTATGCAAGAAAATCTTTTGAAGCCTTTAGAAATTAGTGTAAAGAAGTAAATACAGCTATATAGAATATTTTTATTATAGAGCTGATTATAAAACTTCATGGTACAAAACAATATACATAATACGCTATTTTACAACAGAAGCATACATTTTCACATGTGTATATGCATAGAAACGAAGTTTCAGAAAGTCTAGATATAAAGAAAAAGTTAACACATTATTTCTGGTTGGTGACACTGTAGGCAATGTTTTAAAAATGTTTTGTGTTTCATATATCCTAATGTTTCTATAATGAACATACAAAAATATTTTAAACATTAAAGAGGTAAAAATATCACCAAGCAAGAAATATATACCAGAAAAAATTTAAATTTAATTCAAATTGGCCTACTGTTTCAGAGCTTCAATATATTATTTCTGGCCAGTTATAATAAAGCCAATGGACCAGAACAAATTCTTTAATAATTAAATATACTATCACTTATAATAAATCTATCTTTAAAAGATTCAAAGGTTACATCTAGAATGCTAATGCTAAAGAGAAAAACAATCATGTTGCAAACAATATTAAAACCTTGAGACACCAAAACACACTGTCTTCTTATATTTGGGAGTGTTGACACAAAAATCACTTCTAATCTAGAAGTAATGACAAAAATAAGAAAACTATAGTCATCTTAGTTGATGTTGTGTTAGGGCAAAATAGGATTCAGCTTAGAACACTGGCACTGGATATTTTCACTGAAAATATCATTTCATCTTGATGGCTAATTTGCATATCACCTCAAGAATAGTCTGTTTCAAGGACACCATGTTTATGAGTATTGAGCTCTTCATTCCTGTGTGAGAAGAAGAAGGAAAGCTCAAGGACATGAATGGAAAGATCCTCCAGATTTTCTCCCTCTCTCTATTCATTTGCAGTTGCAGCAGTAGAGCAAAGGCACACAACTATTTAGAAGGATTTGCATTTGGCAAATCCTTAATTGTTCTTCCACCACTTGAACAGATACCTCCAGGAAAAGAGTTATGGCAAAGTTTTCATCCAACATCCTGGGTTGGAGTAGATCTTACTCTGGAGGCCAAAGAAAAAGAAGCCAACTGCTTTTCATTTTTTTCACTTAAAAAAAAAAAAAACGACAGAATTCTCTGTTCATATGAGTTTGAAAATGAATCTTCTGGTCTTGAAAGAGCATAGATAGCCTGAAAGGGTGTAATTGGATCACACAGAAGCCCTGAAGCTCTGTGCCCTAATCCTGTGACATAGATTCCATCCATAGTCAAACTCCAAAGACTGCCAGAGAGAAAGTCAGAGAGCAACCCCCAACACCCTCTTCTTTTAGTCTCATGAGGAAACCCTCTGGACTAGCTTGTCTTCTGGACACCAAATAATGTCATGGTACTTGCTAATACGAACTGTGAGTTGTTAAGAAAGCTAAGCCCCCTAATACAAGTAATTGTTTGTGTCAGATTCAGATTTAACAAGTACTATTTATGTGCCAGGTGAATTATATACTTTTGGCTGATCCTTAAAACAACTCAGCAAGGTTAGCATTAGAATTCCCATTTTATAGAAAATTATACAACTCAGAGCTGTTAAGTGACTTGTCAAGAACTACCCAACCAATAAGCATCAGAGTCAAAATTTGAACCCAGATCTGAGTTGATCTGACTTTAACCTGTGTCCTTTCCTATTTCTATTAACCTGACAAGGGCCCAATTTTAATGGTGTGTATGGATAAGATACTTGTAGTGCAGAACTGAAGGGTTTATTAGCTGCTCTCCTATGAGAATCTGGTGTGATAGTCACAAAATACAAAAGCAGAGAACTAAATCTTACCTGGAGGCGGAGATCAAAGACAGCCAATTCCTCTCAACTTGCTCAGCAAGAGGCTGGACCCCACTCCACAGACTGAAAGAGGAAACTGGGGTGAATTCTACAGCAGCTCTGAGCAGTTCTGCCAGGTGGGGAGAGCCTGGATGGACACAGACAGAGCAAATTAGGGGAAAGAAAAGATGAAGGGCATGGTCTCACCCCTGGGCAATTTCGACTCTTTCCTCTTTCCTCCTGGCCTCTTTTCTCTGGCAGTCTGCAGAGAACAGGCCACGCTGGCAAAGCCACTGACGTGCATCTCAGCTCCCAGGGCACAGAGAGAGCTGAAGCTTTTGAGCCATTTCTTTGCAATTTGCTGCAAGTTTAAGGCCACACGTGATAAAGCTTTCTGTATGGGAGAGAGTGAAAAGAGAAAAGACCACTTGTGATCTTACTTGCTGATTCCCAGAAACAAAACTCTGCAGGGGGCAGAGGGGAAGGGAACAGAAGCAGGAGGAGGGGCGGAAGTCTGTAACAAAGATCCCTCCTTCTC